AAAAGAAATCAGCAGTGACAGATCACATTGCTAGAAATAAACTGCGTAATTGACTGGGAGGGGGCGAAAGTTATAGACAGAGAAGACAATAGAAGAACCCGCTGGATCAAGGAGGCAGTTTGGATCAGAAAGTCAACCCCTGTAATGAACCGGGACGAGGGGGGGGTACAAACTAAGCCACGTTTGGGATAGTGTTCTCGCCGCAAAAGCGCCACCTACATCGGCTACATATAGCGGCGAGATGCAGTACTCCAGTCAGAAGCTCTGAAGAAGGTGTCTGACAGACACCAAAACGTCAGCGAGGTGAGACTCTTTGGTTGTGTAAAAAGAATTCCCATATCTCTTAAGTTTTACCAACCTGATGAAACTATTTTCGGAAGCTATGGTAATTGTTTTGGAAACATAACATTTGTATTTTATTAAGGGCAATATAGATTTAGCTGATTGCGTTAAGAGCTCAGAAAGTACTTATCTTTAATTCAGAAAAGCCCCAAACCGAACGACCACCATTTAAAAGACTGTAGACTTTATCTTTACAATAAATGGCATTTGGCATTCAGACTTATTAGATTCTTTAGTAATGGAAGCGATGTACTTACCGAAGCGGAGACCTCTATCTTTGCGGGTATTTCATAGCGCAGTTTTGTGGGCAGACAAATGGGACCCCAGATAGGGATGCAAAAACTCTTAATGTTCCCCTCCTTCAACATCTTTGACCAGGACCTCGATACCCTGGGAAGAATCATGACAACATTACATCAATCAGAAGATTTTATACCCTGCCCAAGAAAGATTAGTAAAGCAAGTAAAGGTATCGTTCCATCACATCATGATACATGTCAGTTCTAGTCATATCGTTTTTTATTAGAAGGCATTCTCAGCAATTGTGAAGTGGGAAAGGTAAAATTGACAAAATGTACTCGACAAGTTGAAAGAATTTCATGCAAGGAGAAATTTGTAGCAGCTGAACACACTTACCAACTACGACATTGTTTTGCAAATAAGCTTATTTGAATAGGACCTAGGGTATGGCACCTAAATCAATTAATACGGTCATTTTTTTTAAATTTCAAATATGTTTCATTTCTCAATCATTTCAGATTAGTGATTGTTTTTCTTTTTGCACGTCAGACATCGAAAAAGTATATTTAATGAGACCTTTATTAACCTTGCAGCCGGATCAAAGCGAATCAATTCGACTCGATCCGGACAATTTTATTTTATCTTTTTTTAATTTTATGACGATTTACCACATTTGTGGAAGGATTGACATAACAGGTGACTATCACATCTTCGAAGATGTCAACCCCGAGACCAGACTGTAAGGTTTGAAACACTCACACCGGGAAGGTCCCCTACTCTTTTCGATAAGTGCGGCGGGTTCTTTAACGTGCTTGAGGTGTGGCTCTCCCAAACACGGGACCTCCATTTAACGTCCTATCCGAAGGACGTCCCTAACTGAAGCTAGGTACTCATTTACACCTGAGTGAGGTGAGGAAAGTCGTGTTAAGTGCCTTTCCCATGGGCACAAGATCGGTGACATGGGCAGGGTTCGAACCCGCAACCTCTCAGGTGTGAGCCGAGCGCGCTACCGACTGCGCCACACGACCCCACGGTCGTGTATCACAGTAAGAAAGAGTAATTTTATCCTATAAGAAAACACATTCCTGTGACAGTAAGGAAATGCCATTCTGTTCTACTTACGATGCTGAGATTGACGCCTTAGCAGAGACACTTAGTTCAGCACTCCCAAAGAAACGTGCTCCCGCCTGTTGCACGAAGGGAGAACTCCAACCCAGCTCCATAGTAAACTCAAACCCTAGTTTAAATCCCGCTTTAGCTCCGAAGGTTATTTCTGCCGGTCCCAGCTGCAAAATACAAGATATGTTTTTATAATAGTCAACCTTTCATATTTAGACATTGCATAGTCAACCTGCATGTTTAATATACCTTCAAAGGACTTACGGAGAATTATTGGTTGGTTGGTTGGTTAAACATTCGATTTAAAAAAAAAAACTTCGTTTGATTTTTACAGTTGTTCATGGATATTGAATTGTAAAAAGAGAGAGTCAAGGATGAACTGCCATACAATATTTACAAAATTGTAATTAAAAATCATTATTAATATTATCAACTGCGTCAATGTCTGTATTTGAATCCCAGAACATTTATTTTATAAGTTCAATTTAACAAAAAAGTTAAGTTCATCCGAATAATTTTATGTAATCAAGAATAAAAGAAGATCGTGAACGTAGGAAATGTTTTTATACGTACAGATACTGGTATTGTGATAGAGACTGTCTTTGAAAATGTCAAATGTGCATCAATAGTGGCTCTGCGCCTTCGTGTACTAATGGAAGAATTCGTCGAATCCTCGCTGTCTTGTAGAGTCGACACAGGAGAGACTTCAACGAAGACAAGGTCACCTTTCTGAGTCCGCGACATAACCTGTTGAGAAGAAAGAGCTCGTTAAATGAGCCTTTTTAGCTATTCACAGATTCAGATTCAGATTCAGATTGGCTTTATTGATGTCGAAGTGGAGTACGTGCACTGAATTAGGATCAATATTAAATAAAGGTACAATATAATGGTTGGCGATATAGGGTTAAAAGGTAGTGCAATAGCACAATACAGTGTATGATTAAAATGTAGTACAATAATCAAAAAAAGAGGAGCGTCATATATACAAAGAATTGGTCGTGACAGTAAGAGAATATTCGCTCATTGACAATGCATTAAAAATAAGTTAGAGATTAAAAGTCATGCTGGTTCAACAATCGATTCAGGTAGGGTATTGGTGAGTTTCTGTATCTCTGTGTTTTAGCTTTTGGAATATCAAGTTTTTGACCATTTCTGGTATTTCTGCCTGTGATACTAGCTAGTAGATCTGCGTCTCGGCAACCAATGTTTGAACTCAGAGTTGATAAGTGATCTAGCAAAGAGATTTTACTTATTACTGACTCGTAAACCCTTAAACCTTTAACCTCCATTTTGCTATTTACATTTTCTTCTAACAAGAGAAGTAATGTAAAAGTTAAAGCAATTACAACGGTTACGGAACCTTAGGAAATTCAAACTCTACTGCTGGATAAAGTACGGAGATTACTTCCGGACGTTTCGTCTTCAGCATCACTAATGAACTAGCGGAACTAGTTAACTCTAATATATGAGCCTTTGTCATGTTCAACTGTTTTTTCTAGTTACTCACATATAAGACTAAATTCGCTAGATGCCATACTGTCTCTGAATCGATAGACGTCTATTACACATTTGCCAATTTTTGGCTTGAAGAGGACAACAAAAGTTTTTGTTTTTTTTCCAAAATCACTCAAAATTATTGCGCGCTGATGTAATCCATAAAATTACTTGCTGTGGCCTTAGGCATAAGTGACGCTGAAGAAGAATGGCGGATGTCTCTCCAAATGTAATATATGATGTTTACCTGGATGTCTTACCTCCATAAAAATAACAATTTTAAAAATCATTATTCCATACCTTTGACAAAAAGGCACCGCTCTTTCTTCCAACTATGGTGTCCCCGGTTGCAAAACCAAGATTTTCCAGTGTCGCGTTCTCATACACCAAGATTCCTTTGGAATTGTCTCCTCCCACACAGTGGAGATCCGGAATGTTGTCCTCCGATTTTGTAGGAATAGTTAAGCTACAACCAGAACACAGAAATCACACATTTGAGTTGAGCAAGAAAAGGCAAAAGCTGACAATAGGACACTCAAAGACAATCATACCCGATTTTCTTTTGAAATAACATGACATAATGCAATGTTTGTTATTTCTTATCTTTAAGTGTTGGGCAGTATGAAGTCATTTATGATGTTGTTTCTTGGAGCAACAATAGTAATATTTTTTAGTAGGTACTTATGATAATACCGCTTACAATACATGGTTCAGACTTTTCTCATACGGTTTCGTGAATTAAAAGGACATTATGTACGATAAATTGCACGATAAATTGAAATATGTTGTTTAGAAATATTTGTCATTTACTTTTACTTTTCAACATATTTGAGAAATTATCTCACATTTCTGACATTTATGGTTGGCGCTACAACAGCCCACAGTTTGTGGCACCATCACAAAATACCAGAATGTGACTGACATCTGTGTTGCAAGCTTTTAAACATATTCGTAAGAGGTCATATTTTGGTACCTTCACTTCCTGAATGGCAATGAGGCAGGGTTGATTTAACTTACTTTGTAAAGAAATGACCAGAAACTTTTTGTATCGTCCTAATGTTGCATGATACTAGCCTCCACCAGGCTTCTGGAGGCGGCTGGAAAGAGTAGAAATTGGCCAAATAGAGAGATAACATGCCAGGGGAGTTGTCT